TTTTATTTTATTGTTTAAAGTATTACAAATAGTAGTATATATGTCTCCTTTTTATTCCCCATTGATCTCCCCCAGCCTCCCCTACCCCCTAGCATATGCCCTCACCCACCCCCAATCCCAGTGTCTTGTGTCCATTGGTTATGCTTACATGCATGCATACAAGTCCTAGAGGTTAATCTCTTACCCCCTCACCCCCTGCCTTCTCACTGTAGTTTGACAGTCTGTTCAATGCTTCTTTGCCTCTGTATCTATTTTTGTTCATCAGTTTATAATGTTCTTTATATTCCACAAATGAGTGAGATCATGTGGTATTTATCTTTCGCTGACTGGCTTATTTCGCTTAGCAAAATGCTCTCCAGTTCTATCCATGTTGTTGCAAATGGTTAAGAGTTCCTTCTTTTTTTTTTTTTTTTTAGAGCAGCGTAGTATTCTATTGTGTAGATGTACCACAGTTTTCTAATCCACTCATCTGCTGATGGGCATTTAGGCTGTTTCCAGATCTTAGCTATGGTAAATTGTGCTGCTATGAACATAAGGGTGCATATATCCTTTCTAATTGGTGTTTCTGTTTCCTTAAGATATATTCCTAGAAGTGGGATCACTGGGTCAAACGGCAGTTCCATTTTTAATTTTTTGAGGAAACTCCATACTGTTTTCCACGATGGCTGCACCAGTTTGCATTCCCACCAGCAGTAAAGGAGGGTTCCTTTTTCTCTGCATCCTCTCCAGCACTTGTGAATTTTCCCTGGGTAAAGTTGGGCAGGGGGAAAGGAGAGAGGCAAGTCAACAAGAGGCTTTCAAACTGTAATTTTTACGTTGTGTCACACGCATGCCCATGTGTACCTAACTAAAATCTGCTCTTTGTCTTCTTTTCTCTTCCCTTTCATTCCATTCTATCATACCCTATAGTGTCCCATTCCATTCTTTATTTAGTTTTTGAAAATGTTCATTATTACCAAGTAATTGGATTTATTTGCCAGTAATGGGTCAATTTACAAACAATGAATATATAATTTACAGGTGTGCACATGCACATGTGTGGTAAATCAAGGAGGAGGCTGACAGGACAGTGAACAGAGAGCACAATTCAGACCTTGAAATTATCCATAAAGCAAGAGAATGAGGAGATTGTGACAATGCCAGCAGCCATGCCTCCCTTCCCCCCTGTGCTGCACACACCTTCAAAGTTCACAGAAATCTTGGGGAGAGCTTTGATCTTTTATTGGGTATGAAATTAGGGATCTGATCATCTGCATGTAATATGGATCTAAGGGGTCATGGAGGCCTTCTGATTACCTGTGTTACTAAAGCTATTTTCCATACCTTTAAACTTCTATGACACCTCAGGCAGTTTGGTAGTGCCTATCCACTTATATTTTATACTATAGAAACCGTATATTTATCTACTAATAGGCTATAATCTATTTTTGGTCAGAGATTATGTCTTACATACAATTTTTGTGTCCCATATTAAATAGCACAATACCTGTACAGTGTAATAACAAATATGTGCTTTTTCTTATTTTATGTATGCAAAAGTTATTACTACTAACCATAATAACATTGACTTGTTATTAGTGGCTGCATAAACTTTATGAAATTTCCTAACCATTTCTCCATGTTTTAGACATTCCAAACATATAATTTAAATGCCCACTTAAGATGCATAATGTTACATATATCATGAAATAATCAACATCAATGACCAAGTGACTGTGCTGATTTTTGCTGAACATATTAAAAAACAATGGCTCCAGATAAGTAATGAAAGGTGAAGTAGGCCTACAGACCCTCGTTCAGCAACAGAATGTACTGGCCACACTAGCGTAAGCCTTAAGGCCCCTGAAGATGACTAATAATGTCAACCACGTCTACCCCATCACCTGGTCTATGGTCAAGTTTAAGAGTTCAGAGGAGTCTGAGGCAGCAGCAAGACTACCCTAGAGATGCTGGAACTGACCTGAATCTTTGGTACAGTCTGAAAGCTCTAAGAACTATAGACATCACAGTAGCTCATTACACAGACTTATCCTGCCTTGCAATCCAAACAATGGATTGTAATGTGTGCATGTAAACTGCAGCTATACTAAGAGAAAAGGGGGCATTATAATGGCCATACTTGTATTTAAGTAATTCTGGGGTATTCCTTAGTGAACCTGTGTTTAACATACCTGCTGATGTCACCATGGCCTTATAAAACTGAGCTTCACACAAACACACATACACACACATTTAAACAGTGAAACTATAAAAGAAAAAGATAATGTAAAAGTTGTTTCTGCACAAAGAAAATGTAATTTATTTTAGAAATAGACAATCACTCAAGTGCATGACTGTGTAGGCGTTCATTGGTGAATTTAGACTAAACAGGAAGTGATGTAAATTATAATTATTACACTGCTGGGAGAGAAATATATTAAATCCAGACAGCACTAGGACAAAGCACAAGGAACTCATTGTGTTGAAGGAAAGCATGCAACTTTGGTGGGAAGACAATGCACTATATGGTACGAAAATCATCAGTGACCATTTGGGACTAAAATAATGTTTTAGGGAGTGTAATTTTGTTCTAGCACTGAAATAGTTTTTTTTTCTGTTTGATAAAGCCCCAAGGTATTCTAATCTTAAACACATTGCTGTTTCTGTGCGTTTAACTATTTCATGCTGTTGTTTTATAGTCGTTAACTTTGAGAGAATAAGAAATAATGAAGCCATCAATGCTTAGATTAGAAATCTTAGATCTGGTGAAACATCCAGAGCAGTGGTTTTCAATCCTCATGTTGTGGGGACCCCAATTTCACTGTTACAAATTGAACATAATTAAAGCATAGTAACTAATCACAAAAACAATATGTAATTATAGATGTGTTTTCTGATGGTCTTAGGCGACCCCTGTGAAAGGGTCGTTCAACCCCCAAAGGGGTCGCGACCCACAGTTTGAGAACCTCTGATCCAGAGGAAAGGTGAGGATTGTGGAAGTTACAGGATTATCTAGCACCTATATAACCCCACTTATTGTTGAAATATCCAAGAATCAATTGGTAGAAGACATATTGACAAATATTTATCTTGAGAGTAAAACAATGTTGTGCTCTATTCCATGGCATTCGTCTCATTGGTCTATCCTTAGGACAAAACCTCATGTGATGAATTGAAAAACACACACACACACAAAGAAACAAACATGGTCAGCATGAGTCAGTGGTTGAGCATTGGCCTATGAACCAGGAGGTCATGGTTCAATTCTCAGTCAGGACACATGCCCTGTTGCAGGCTCAATTCCCAGTAGGGGGCATGCAGGAGGCAGCTGATCAATGATTCTCAGCATTGATGTTTCTATCTCTCTCCCTCTCCCTTCCTCTCTGAAATCAACAAAAATATATTTGAACAAACAAACAAAAAACAACAACAAAAACCCCACCCAAAACAAAGCTAGACAGCTGGTTTGGCTGCTTGCATGGTTTAAGGAGAACTCTCAGAAAATCAGGCCAAAGACATAAATCGAATGCCCACCTTACCATTTTGTTACAAAGTCATATCCAAAATGAGGTAACTGAATGAATTAGGTTCCGCCCTCCAAGTTGCTACCATGCTTCACCAGAGTGTAGAACAGGATAGTTTATTGGTCCCTGTCTTAATGGGATATTTCTAAATTAGCAAAGCTAAAGCCTTCAGAAATAATTTAGCCAAAATGTGCTGATGGTTTATTGCCTTAATTTCCAATCTTAGAATTTTGTAGAGAATTATTTCTGTTGTCCAGTTGAGGCTGATAGCTGTAAAGTGAAGCTCTCATTGGGAGAGAAAAATCACTCCCTTAGGACTCTTTCCCAGAGCTCAAAGCAGCAGATTTGGGAAGTCAAAGCCACAGTGCACTGATCCTCCCAACTGATCTGAACGTAGTGTGCTCTGATGGGAATGCAGTGTGACCAGCAGCCTCCTGGCTCTCACTACACAGTGTCTTTGAGTGGAACAGAACAATTTCACAGAACTCGTCGCTCATTTGGAAATAGATCTGACCAGTGATTTAGTTAGTCAAAATTAATTTCAATCTCTGATTTTTATGTTATTAAACTACACTATGGTTTGTGGAGTATGAAATGAAGGATAGTGCTTTGCTTGATTCATTTCTATTAATTTGTACATACACAATCAAAGGTATTTGTTGAAAATTTCTATGATACTTGTTGCCATTAACTGTCTCTTTCACCTTTGACCCTGCTCTCTACCTCCATTATTTTCCATCTCTTAACCCATAGCCATTTAGTGGACACCAATACTTGAACCAGACTGACTAAGAAAGTGGCCTGAACTCAGTGCCTCTCTTTTTCATCTGTAAAATTAGCATAATAGCAGAACGTAACTCAAGATTTTGAAAATGAAAAATGGGACACATATAATGCTTAGAACACTTTCTGGAATCTAGGAAGTACTTAAATGTTAGTTATCATCTATCATGTATCACCATTCTCTGTAATTGTTAGTATTTACTACCATATCTTTTGTTAAATGGATTTTTCTAGTAGATCTTCAGTTGAAGAACAATCTATAGGAAGATACTTTTTTAAGTGCTTATTTTAGCCAAGTACTTAAAATTCTACTCATTAATGGCCTTATTTTCAAAAGCCTCTACAATCCAGTTTTCTTTAAAATTTACAGAAATCACCTGGCCTGGGCATGTGCTTGGTGGATAATTCTAAATTTAAATGACACATAAAGTCTGAAGAATTATAACTAATGGAGATTCAATTTTAGTCCATGAAAGATGTATTTTTTATACCACTTCCTACTTCTGGACCTTTTTAAGGTTTACATTCATTAAAATATTGTTAGGAATCCCTTTTCAGGTACTGGCTGCTATGAAATAAAAATCCAGTTCATTTTTTAATGTAGAGTCGATCTAGTTCTGTGTTTTACATTCCTATAGAGAAATGGTAAAACTTTTCATAACAAAGGTTTAATTAGAATGGTTAATAGCTATGATTTCAAAAGTGTCTGAGTCAGCCTTAGTAATAATTAGGGAGTTTTGTTCCATACAAAATGCTTTATTTAACCTTCATGCCTTCATTCAGATAATTATACAAATGCATACAGTTAAAGGTTTAAACTCTATTTCAGTTCACAGCTCAATTCATAGGAAAGTTGAATACAGAAAAGCAATGCACCAACAGAATATGTCTGAGACACCATTAAAAACGATAACACTTGTTCATTTAAATCTCTGAGAATAGACTGGAATAATCATCCTCTGAGAGAATCTCATTAGGAGGGTCTCCCTTTACATTATCATAGGGCCAAAAAAAAAAAAAATCACCATTTTACAGTAAAAGGAAAAAAGCTCTGAGTATATTTACAATACATACACTATACATAAATACAAGAACAACACTTACATAATATTAATAAACTTATAACAGAGTCTGCCTAAACACTACAGAGTATATAAATGCAGAGAAAACTATTGGGAAATTAGATCTGTAGATAAGCTGGAGAAATAAATTCATTCGTAATTAAAACTCTGAACAGAAAACAAAATGAAGATTTGGAAATGAACACACTTGCTTGCCAGCATCATTGAGGGGGGGTGGGGGGTTGTCCTCTACTGGGTATGACCTCCTCTGGGCACTCGAACTCGCTGGGGTTATAGACCCAAGAGGCTTTTGTAAAATTACATCCGACACGTGAATCAGATGCAGCACATCTATTCAATTTGCTGTTCAGGGGTTTCAAGCCTAGAATAACTGCTTTGTAGCCTAAAGGATGTTTTTGTATTTTTACACAGATAGATCCTGTAATCCAATCACCATGTATAATGAGCTCAGTGTTAAGGAAAAGGAAAAAGATGCCTGCTTGATTTGGCCAAAGATGATATTTTTCTTTAATCCCACGTATTTCTTTTTTTCAAAGATGACTGAGAGATTTATTCAAAAGAATATGACTCTCCCCCCCCCCACACACACACCAAAAGCAATGTCTAGACTACTACTAATTATAACTAAGTCATTTTAAGTGGCAGGTGGGTATCTTAAAGGTGGCCTGTTCTCATCGTTTCACAACACACAACGTTCTGAGTACATTCTTCTATGGACAAACGTGAATTTGCTGGTTTCTCTTTTTTTGTAAATGAACATGTTATGATACACATAATTGCATTATGATGCAGGATGACATCATACATAAGATGATGTTTTTCAAGCTGGTTTTGTAAGTAGTTATCTCATTTCCACACAGAGTTGGTTTGCCATGTGATGCAATGTGTCCCACAGACATGAACAAAACAATACAGCCACCATTCCGTGTATGTGTGGGGGATGGTGATTTTTAAAAATGAGCTTTCAAACACAACAAATTGTGGACAGACAAGTTGATAGGAAAGAGCCTTGAATATAGGCACCAGTGCCCCAGTTCAACAATACCCATCCAATGTGATAAAGTTTGAGGAACAAAATAGATACTACAGTCTGGATGTAATTACAAAATTCTGCTATGGGAAAACTAGAAGCACAAGTAGGGCAAAAGCATTTTCTATAATGTTTTATGCAGCATCTTTGGAGCATGAAATTGGTGGAAAGGAAAGACATTGATATGTCCTCAAAGTATCTTACTTTTTGATTACTTGGACACTTTTAGTAGTAGAGTTTGACCCAAATGCTACTCTTCCATTCACCCTCATTTCTCAACCAAAAAATCAATCTCCATAAAAGTCTTGGTAAGCTTGCTTTGGAAAAAGCAAGATATAATAATTCACACAAAGAGTCATTGGTTCTTGCTTTACACAAAGAGCAGACTTTCTTGTCTCAAGGATTTTAAATGTCTAGAGATGAAGTCTCGAATGAAAAAAGTACTATTTCCACCATTCATCTCTTTTCAACTCACTGAAAGGTGTGGTTTTGTTGTTGAGAAATTATTGCTTGTGGAACCCAATTAACTGGGAAGAGAGCCCCTCTCCGAGTGGGGTGTGCACACCAAACACTGGCTTTCCGCGCAGGAGGGAATTTGTTTATGCAGGTTGATCTCTTCTCTCAGCCAAGTAACAGGGAGAAAGATCATAATTCAGGAGATTCATTTTCAGAAAAAGAAACACCATGAGAAACGACATTCTCTTAATGTTTTCTAAGTCCATTAGTACTTCTATGAATCAATACTGTCAGAGACCTTGTGATACACAGAAAAGGAGGAGGGGATTTCATTTCTCTAATGTTGGACAGCTTCTCATAAAAATTCAATTAAACTAACAATACGATAAACAAATTATTTCTAAGATTATTTAAAACATTCCCAGGTGGTGCTGTTAGGTGAGAAATCTGAAGAGGAATGATCTGCATCTCTCCTTGCTCATCGCCTGAATGTTTATGATTGCCACCTTATTAACAGCTACTAGGAATGGGCTCTTATTAACAACTAGTTCCATGGAGGTCAACATTCCAAATGCCCCTTAAGCAGCCTCTCTCTAGCAGGGCTGTAGAGGTGTAAAGGCTTTTAGTACATCTAAAGAAATGCACAGAATGGTAAAAAAAAAACAAAAAACAAAACAAAAAAAACCCAAAAAACAACAAACCCCACTCTGGCTAAAATGCTACAAAGTAGGGGAGAGTTTTGATGATTTTGGATCTTTAGGCCAAACATTTAGGAGGATGGTGATATGAGGGTATTGACAAATTCAGGGAGACATCTGGTTATTGCAATCTGCATATACTAGGAGAAGACAGATTTCAAATATTCTGTTCCACTGTCATGTGCTATAGCATGTCCCTGTATCTTACTTGGAAAATATGATAACGATGCATTCATAATAAAAGCTACTTAAGAGTTAGATATGGAAAGTTGGCTGCTGGGTCCACAGGTGCTAGGTGCTGTGGTGGAAAGAATTCGGGCTTCAGAGCCAGGGACAGGTCGCTTCACGTCCCCACTTTGCCATTTATGATTTCTGTGTTTGAGGACCACACAGCCTCTCTCAGTGCCTCAGTTTACCATCCATAAACTCTGAAATTGTTGTACAGATGAGAGGTAATGTGTCTTAAACAATTAGCTAGTACAGGGCTTGGCATATGTAAGTGTTTAATAAAGAATAGCCGTTGTTTCATAGCTTGCTAACCTTTTGACCTTTCATGTTCTGATAGTACTTTCAGACAACTTCCAGAAAGCAGCCCAGTCAGAAGACTTGATTTCAGTAAGGTTAAGGCTTTCCTTTGACACTTAATTGATTTTCCACCTTCTCCGGGCTCATTTCTTTCTTTCTGAAACTTGGAGGAGGAAGCGGTAGAGGGCTTTCTAAGCCTGGGGTCTGGTTCTGGAGAAGACCGGGCATCTGGGTCACCTTCACTGTCTACAACCCGAGTGTTTAATTACCGTCATGCTTTTAAATTGCTCTTACCAAATGTTTGGCTCTACAGAGTATAATTTTACTGATAGCCCTCAATAGCTTGTTTGGGTGGATTTATGCTGAGATGGCAGGGCTGGAGAATTTCCAGGGCTCTTGTCTACCCATATAATTTCCTTGTATATTTCTATTCATAACTCCACTTTTAGCAGTTAAATAATGATAGCTCAAAGTTGTGAGGTTCTAAACGTAAATCTGGAAATTTCCCAGATGAACTGCAAACCTTGGCTTACTTGATGTCAGTTATATCTCAGTAGACATTTTAGGAGATAGATAATTGTTTCAATATTCATTCCAAAAATGGTTCTTCGATGAGAACAGAAAATATCAGGGAAAAGGGAAACAAAGATGGATTTGTGCATTTGATATTAGTAGATAAAGTAAGGCAAACAAATATCTCTAGTGTTTTGCTCTAAACAAATTGGCTTCTGTTAAATAAACAAAACTTTTTGAGGCACGCTCAGTGCTTCCTAAGTTTGGGGCAAATCATAGTGAAGTTTTTATCTTAAAATTGTAACTGTCATATGCCATAGTGTATGTTAAAGATAACTTTAATATTCAGGTTTGCATTCTGACGTTCTGTAAGACTGATTAAAGAAATGCCAACATAAACAAGATTGGGTATATTTAAGAAGACACAAGAGAATTTTTTTGTGGGTGTGTGAACAGATCCAAATTACTGTGTGCATATATGCATGCGTTTCCCAAATGTAGAGGAAAAACCCAGTCTGAAGAAGAATTATTGCTGTGTAAAAGTATAGGAATATCTCATTGGTCATAATGTCTATTGACAGGCACTTTCAGCTTTTAATCACTTCGGAAAATGGGTATTAGCTTATTTCTATTGCCAGTATAGATTCATTTAACATGTGGCCGAATCCATAACACTTAATCTTGTCAAGATGTAGCTACTCCTAAAAGTATACCCTCAGTAATTAAACAAGAATAAACACCAACACCTGTATAGTTTTCATTTTTATCAAGAACTACTTGGCTGAGGAGGAAGATAACTGAGAAAAGAGAACAATGGCTACATGCTTCTCTTTAGCATAAGCCAAAAGCTGTGCAACTGTTTCCCCCTTTTCAGGTAAAGACATTTTGAGTTTGGAATCAGTTGTCTGCAACTTAAAATGATTTCAATGTGTTTGAAACCACCCTGGCTGAATTGAGACAAGTGGCCACTCCATTTGTCAGAGCACAAGGGATGTGCTGTGAGAATGTGGAACAGAGTTCCCATGGCAATATCGCTAATTGTATGTAAGATATACAAGGCATATCTGAACAAGTTTTCTTTTTTTATTGTGATGAAAACTAGAAGCTCTTTTTCCCAACATACTTCATCAAACTATTTACAACCCCTGTAAAATTTGTGTTTGAAAATACTTTTTCCACTATCACATATGTTACGAATACAGCAAAATATCTTCACTCTATTTTTTAAAGATGCAGTATCCTCAATTTCATTTTCTTACGAAAATCTTAATTTCTATTGCAATTGCACAGTATTTAGCACACTTAAAGTACCAATGGACATGAGTTGCTAAACAGACATTACTCTATAATGAACCTGTGAAAATATAGCATTTAAAATTTTTATGTACACTTCTTAACTATAAAATGCAGGCAAAGTCATATATAGCATTATAAGCGGATTCCCCATTAAGGTAAATAACTTACATTTTTAGACAGTATGGATTATTACAAACTCATTCTTTTAAAAAAGTTTTCTGTTGATATTTGTGAGCCCACTGGCTGCTGCATATACAGGTGTGTATACAGGTATGCATGTATCAGTGGTGCCTGTGCAGGTAAGTACATGGCAGTGTGGGGATAAGTAGAAATGTAATATGGAAGACATACCTTACCAAATCTCATTTTTAAACAAAACTAAATCAAAGCAAAATATTTTTTAAATGAGATAACACTACCTCAGAATAACTGAGCAAAGAGATTTGGTCAGTGAAGTTGTAGAATACATTTACTCCTGAAATCTATAGGCATTAGTAAAGAGCAAAATCTGAGACTGGATTATGGACTATGAGCATTAAGGCTTCCTGGGCCTATTATGATGCATAAAAGGCATGTCCAGTCCCTTATATGAAGGTCATAACTCAATGTATCATCCATGCTGGTATTCTTATCAGCTGAATTCTGTCAACCCTTACTATCAATGCTAAGACACCTTTATAACAACATTCTGGCCACATTTCTAAGCAGTCATAACAACATAACAAAGGCGTATTAATACATTTGAAGGCCTCACCTCACCAGATTTATTCAACTGTTGCTTTGGTAAGTATAATAAATAAAGTACAGAATAGGAATACTGCATCTTTATCCATATACATGTTGTCATTCTAATGAACTGATTCCATAAATGTAGAATTATACTTAGGTTTGAAACACAAATGGCAATTCGAAGTTTAAAAAGGTTGTATAAAAATGAACACAGCTTTGTATGAGCTATTCAAAATTTCAACCATCATGAGAATGGCCTAATCTAGAACTGGCATTGTAAACACTGTAGCTTTTTGTAAGATCCCTTCCTCCCCCAACAATCCTCTTCCTATTTTCCACTTAAACTGTAAAGTGAAAAAAAAAAAAGTGCTCTTTTCCCCCATTGTGGTTTATGTTACTGTTACTCAACTGCTTTTTGGAAATAAATGTCCAATAGTGCTTTGTAAAAGTAATGCCAGGCAGTAGTATGATCTTTACGGTCAAGTCATTAGGAATTTCAGTCTAAATGCCGTAAGAGAATGTAAGTTACCCAGCAGGCTTCTCCGAGTCCGCACACAGTTGGCAAGATGGGGCCGGAGGAGGATGGGGAAGTGTGAATCTCTTTCTGACAACTTAAGATCAGAACATGAAGAGGAAATCTATTTAAACCTCAAAGCCTGAACCTTAGTGCTTTTCAAATCATGTGAACTCCCTTGAACTGTCTCCACAATGCAGAGAGAGAGCCCGGTCTCCTGTAGCTTCTCAAGCCATCACTGGCACACGTGTGTAAGTTCCCAAACATGCACACATGTCCAGCTGCAAAGTTGCTGAACAGCTTCAAATTTCAGACCAAAGAACACTTCTAGGGAGGGAACATCTGATGAGTCCTTCAGATTCTACTTATTCTATTCATTATCTACTGTGCTTTTTAAACGAGGCTAGAATGGACATAAAACTACATGGAGGGGGCTATTCTTTGCCTAAAGACATTCCTACTTATAAAGCCAATTCCTTCTCTCCCAAACCACTTTCCTTTCCATGGGTGAACATTTGTAGAAAACTCAAGTAAGTTTGAGTCTTGGGGTGAGAACAGCAACTCATTCACTACTTGTGCTTGGATTCCTCCTTAGAAGTATAGACACGTCAAAGAGGGAATGGTGTTAACACTGACAGGTTTTAGCAGTTACCTTACTGTCTCAGACTGGTTCCCCTTTCAGAGGATGAGGCAAAAAATGCACTTTCCCGAATCTTTCCTATGTTATTACAGAGGAGCAGCTCATTTAGTTCTGGGCTAAATTTAAATCAAGCTGCCACTCAGGAAGCTCCCACTGCCTGTCAGTTTCATGAATTCGAAAAACTATTCCTACCTGTAACACCCTTAAGACATCTCTCAGCAGAGAGCAGGATTGGCCCTTCTTCTGAGAGCAGTTAGGATGAAATTAAGCCTACACGTCACCTGAGTGATTCACCTACTACCTGCCAACTAGGTTCTGGGACTAGCTGAGAGGGTTCCCCACTCTGTGCTCTTTGCTGCTGATCAATAACCAATGCTGGCATGCCTCAAGCAACCCTTCTCTATTCCACGTGGTCACAGGCAATGAGAAGTAGCAGTTGCATACAGTACAGATAAAAAATTTTCCAGTTGGTAAAAAAAAAAAATCCCAGTGCTTGGTGGGTAGTAGATCGTGTAGCTAAAGAAGCTATTTGTCAATAGAATTGCAGCCCTTGTTGGAGGGAAATTGCCTGATGAATTTTTCAGACCTGGCAGAAAATGCAGAGCACATATTTCTAAAGACAGAATTTGACCTGAAAATCATTATGCTGTTGCTTGAACATTAAAAAATAATTCCTTTTAATACCATCCAACACAAATTGCCTTTGTTTCAATGTTTATAATCCTTGCTTCATCAGAATAAGATTAACTGAATTAGAAGACGACCCTAAAAAAAGGATAATTCTGCAACTGGAAATTATTTCAGAATGTTCAAACAGTTAAAAATGAGCTAGTAATATTGTGAGGTTAATTTGTGCAATTCCAAAAATCAAGTGTTTTTAATGAAAATATATTGCAAAAGTCTATATGCTGGCAACATTTGTATCTAAGCTATAAAAAATCTTAACAACAATAATAACTAAAAACCTCACCAAGTCCCTTAACCACATAAAGCTGAAAAAAACCCAGCTTTCAGTGGGGGGGAAAATATGGTAATTTTTTTGAAAGAATGTTTGTTGGTAATGTATTGCTTTGTTTACTGTATACTTTGCTAGATGCCAAAAAGGCTCATAATTTTAGGGGGTCGACAGGACTGTAATTTCCTCTCACCCTCAGCACAGGATGAGTGGGTTCAACATCCCTGCAGGTGCCAATGCAGAACCACCAGGTCCTGACACAGTGTAGAAAAAACAAAGTCTGTATAGAAGAACCCACTGGAGAGTCGCGTAGCCTTGGCTACAAGTGAGGAAACGAGCACCATGTCAGGCTTTCCTCGGGGAGCACGCCCTTGCTGCTGACTGTGCTCCAAGGAGAGCTGACCCATTAACCCAAGAGTTAATTCCCTGCTATGCCTCCCTGGCCTCGTCACCAAATAACCGTTTTCAAACAAGAGAAGGGGAGCATAATCTTTAATTGTGGTAGTCAACCTAGCAGGACAACAAACAGCAGAAAGATTACCTCAGTGCTGTACATGTAACCAAGACCTCTAAAATGCTGGGGTGTTTTTTACAATCCCTTTAGTAAGTATGAAAATTGGTAACGTGAGTCCTCAGTGAAGTTATTGTAGGAAAGTCCTTTTATTCGTTATTGCTTTTCTCCTCAAGAGGCGCATTATTTCCATCTCTGCTTTGTCTGATTTTTCATGTTCACTGACTTTGCCTGGGCAGCCCCACCTCTCCTTACCTTGGTGCCAGTGTGTCTAAGAAAGTTTTTCCCTCCCCCCTGATTCCTTGTAATCAAATCCTAGGGGCAGGAAGAGATGATGCCTGGGTGACAGAACACTGCAATTTGAAGTGGGGCAGTAGTTTTTTAGACAGGCTCTTCCTATTCAACCACAGAACAGCCCAGTGCCAGTCCATGCCAGGGCAGACACCGGGACCAGACTCCGACTGAAATGTCGCCACCCCTCTGCGTGAACAGATGAACAAAACAGAATCAAAACAAAAAAAAAACACACCAAAAAACAAAAACAATCAACAACAAACACATGAAAGACTCAATGTTGGTTTTCTTCAGGGCATGGCATAATGACAAGTCGCGGGCGCTATCTAGCTGCCGCCATCGCTATTGCAAAGGGCTGCCTGAGTGCCCCTTTCTTTTCAGGGGATGGAACCTCTCCAACAGCTTCTTCTTTTCTACGTCGGTGCTGCTGGCTGGTAACAGATTGGACGGGGGTTCTATCTCACTCAGATGGTAACTGAAATTCCTGTAAAAAGAGGTTAGGGGGCGGGATGATGGGAGAATCATCCCCAATGTGAAAGGTCTCCGCTCTAAGCCATCCATTTGTGGTAGATGACCTTTACAGTATCAATAACAAAATGTCTGACAGCTCAGAAAGTGGACAAGCTACAAACATCGTTCAGTGGCAGAGCGCACAGCACGGAAAACAATGCCCGTCTCTCCCGCATCCGTGTCACCGATCTCCCAGGCCAGCGTGAAGACGGGTCTCGTGGAGTCGCGATGGGGGTTACCTGCAGACCGAAAGAAGTGTTCCTTCTTGTTCCTGCTCTGGTTTCAGACATCGTGGGATGGTGATGCCCTTTTGTGTTAACACTGTGGAGGGGAGTCAGCCCTGCTGAACCGGGTGCCGCTAAGAGAGCCAGCTCTTACGCTCAGCTGGACGGGTGGCATCCCTCACACCAGCATATGCCTCCGGCGGTGCAGTGCCAAGTGGTCTGACCGGGAAAAGCTGCGATCGCAGTCCGCGCACTTGAATGGCTTCACTCCCGTGTGTTTGCGGTAATGCCTGGTCAGTTCATCCGAGCGAGCAAACTTCCAGGTGCAGCCTTCCCAGGTGCACTTGTAGGGCTTCTCCCCTGGAAGACACAAAGGGACATGCGCTTTGGTGCCCATCACTTTTCTGTAATAACCAAGCCAGCACTACATCCTGGGAAATGGCTGTTTTCAGTGGGTTTTCTATTTGGTAATAATCCTTTGTCAGGAACCCTAATCATCCCATCAGCAGGTGTGGGGTCAGATGGGGGTGGGGGGGAGTTTCAATCTCCTCTCTCCTGCTGTGACATCTGGCAAGTGCATTAACACTTGCATCTTCCATTACAGGCAAATTACTCTGAAGTCAAAATATCAAAAGGCACAGACTGATGGCTACTGGGTGGAGCAGCCGCTGCCCACTGGTAGACTCCAATGGGATATTAGAGCTCTACCTTGCTTGATGTGGCTCTACGGCTGAAACGCACAACGAATCACCAAGGGTAGTTAATTACGTTTTGTTTCAATACTCCAAAATGTGCATCTCACTTAGATGGGTTAAGGCTATTTTGGAATATAATGTCCACTTATCAGTAACTGAAAAAATATATAATTTCATTAAAATGGAAAGCACCCCCTCCAAATGAGGTATTAATAAGTACATATAATTCATAACATCTACTTTTTGCATGTCTATTGGGAACGAATCCGAGATATCTTAATAGTGTAAAGTTTAAATACTTTTTTCAGTGACTTGGGAATTAGAGCAAGCCCTGAGGAATCTTAGAATTGGTTCAGTGTAGAAACTTAGAGTAAAAAGCAGTCCGAAGAAGTATGTAATCTGACCAGGTCCCTCAGTCAACTTGGAAGGACAGTAAAATATGCAAAGGCTTTGCTGGGAAAAGATACACTATCTATTGTCCAAATGAGCTCCCAGGGGGAGCAGGACAATAGCTGACCCAGGTGTGCTTTTTCCTGGCTCTCATTCAGAACGGGAGCCCTGTCCCCATGCAACCCCACAACACTGATCTTGCCTCTGCCCCTTCCACCCAGTAGCCAACAGCATGCTGCTTGGCCACACGTGGCCTTTGGTGGAAAGGGCCTAAGAAGAGAAGAAAGCTACCTGTTGATCCATATGTAGAGAGTGGCAAAGTGAGCATTGTTAACCCCACTTTACGGATGAGAAAGCTGAGGCTCAGTGTAGTCAAGCAACTTCCCCATGGCCAGTAAAAAGATGTGTTTGGCTCCAAGTCTAGCGCTTTTCACTGTGCAACAGTGAAATGGGTAATTCTTTCCTCATCTAAACTTCATTACCTCTTTAGACAGTTAGTGCTACTTTCGTAGCTACTCCCAAATTACTCACTTCCTATTCCCATTAAATCACCTATCACAGTAAAACATACAGATTTTGTTTAGACGCCTTTCTCCTTTACCAGTTTCTCCTGAATACATGGAGATCAAGAACCAGGTCTCCTCTAGTTCAGTATCCTCACAGCTTAAAATAGGTACCAAGCAAGTGCTTGAATGAATTAATAAAACTGCAACACATACACAGAGGCACACATACACAAAAATACAAGTAATGCCTACATGGGAAAACTAGATGGAACTGGACCCAACATTTTTCATTCAATTGATAACGAAATACTATCTATTAGCAAACGGCCCTTTCAGAAGTAAGTGAATAGTTCAGACCAGTTAAATCTACAACTATTGATGCACTTAATTGAGGCCCAAAGAAACCTCCAGGTTACTCTGAAGGGGTTCTTTTCAACAGGAAGCCTACTGACTGGATTAACCCCACACCTCACCTTCAGACTCATTCTGGATGTCCTATGGAGACAAAAATCTCCTTTACAGATGTCTATTGACCAGAATTTAATGGAATTAAAAAAATAAAATAAAATCAGCAAAACCCCTAACTTAAAAAGATCGAAGGGTGTGTGTGTGTATATTATATCGCATATCAATGGCAACTGTTGACACGCTTTTATTTACATGTTATCCCTGTATGTTTTTGAAATTTACATCATGAACATGGATTCTAGTAAATTCAGCTTGATATAAATCATGTCTTCATTTTGGGGGCACTGAGCTCAGGTAGCTGACTCTTTGTCACCAACAGGTATCTCTTAGCTATCATCTCCTATGTTACTATGGAACCAGCCACTGAGAGTATAAGGCCTAAGAAGGGAAGGCTAAAGGATTTTCTTAATTGGGAAGAAGCATTTCTCAGTTGTGTGGTAGGAGGATGTGTGTGTCCAGCTTGGTGAGGAAGTGTCATATGAGCATGGGTGGGATCAGATATGCTGCTGGACCCTCAGCTGGCCATCCCAGGTCAGGTGAGGGGAAGAGGCTCCACAGCTGGATGGGCCTAGAAGGTCAGTAAAGGCAAAGAGAAGGAGACACGTACTATCTGACACTTCATAGAAACTTTGCTGACCTTTGATGTAAGGGAGGCACCTCTGCTTTTTGTAGGCTTTTGGATTCTGTGAACTTATTGAATGGGAGTATATGATGCAGATGGTTAGTTTGGGATGGGTGGGTGAGGGAATGTTTTGGCTTTAGGATAATCACTCATTCTCGACTCAGGACCTCAGTTACAATTCTAACAATTCTCTCAGTAATAAGCACACAATATTTCACATCCAATACTCCGAAATGAGAGTTCTTGGCAACAGAAAGCGAGGGATTCTCTGAAAAGGCTCACCGGATTCAATCAGGGTTTAAAAACTATTTTCAGGATCTTTTCTGCTCATTAAAAAAATTGAAGGTCTTCGTTATGCGGGTGAGGGTAGGATGGAGTAAGGTCAGGAATGTCTCTCTATACTTTACCTGGTAACTGAAAGAGCAATGATTCTACACAGAGATGAAGCTCCCTCACCCCCACACTTTTCAGGACAATTGTGTTACAATGGAGGGAAGAATCAGAAAGCTGGAGCTTAGATGTTCGCCAATGTTTCTAAGATGGATATTTCAAAGCGGGGGAGCAGGGAAAGCAACAAGTCAGGGCACTGGACCAGGGAAACAGTAAAAATCTGAAAAGTACTTTGTGAGGTGGAATCAAGTGCAATATGTGATCGTGAAAGACAAAGGTGGCAAAATGGGTGAAGGTGATCAAAAGGTACATCTTCCACTTATAAAATAAGTCATGAGGATGTAATGTACATCATGGTGAATAATGTACAGCATAGTTAATAATAATACTGTATTGTATAGCTGAAAGTTGCTAAGAGATTATAAAAGTTGTCATCACAACAAAACTTGTATCTATGTGTGGTGATGGATATTAACTACACTTACTGAGTGATCATTTTGTAACATAAAAATATCAAACCATTATGTTGTACACCCAAACCTGGTATGTTATATGCTAATTATGCCTTAATAACAAAGGAGATAAGGGAATAGACCTCAAAAATACAAGAGGCATATATTTCCCTAGTCATGAATAAAACCAATAAAAATAACAATCATATATAATAAAAGCCTAATATGCTAAGTGTCTGACCATTCATTCGACCGGTCACTATGACGCACACTGACCACCGGGGGAAGACACTCCAATTGGTAGGTTAGCTTGCTACTGGGGTCTGGCCGAGATGGGCCAGACACGCCCTGGAGCCCTTCCATGATCTCTCCCCAGCCCCAATTGTGCACCAGTGGGGTCCCTCGGCCTGGCCTGTACCTTCTCGAAATCCGGGACCCCTCAGGAGATGTCAGAGAGCTAATTTCAGCTCGATCCCCACAGGCCAGGCTGAGGAACCCCACCTGTGCACGAATCTGTGCACTGGGCCTCTAGTAAGCTTATAAGTTACTAGGGGCTAAGTGATTAATGAAGGCATAAACAAAGAATGTAAACCTCCACTGAGGAGGGGAGGAAGGATAAAGTATGTCAAAAACCAGTAAATTTAATTATCTGAGTGATAAATGAGTTTTCCTTGAAAATTTTCTTACAAAAATGTATAGATTCTTTTAAACATCAAAAAAATCTTATGCTAAATACTAGAGGCCCGATGCATTAAAATTCGTGCAAGAGTAGGCCTTCCTTCTCCTGGCTGCTGGCACCGGCTTCCCTCCGGCACCCGGAACCTGGGCTTCCCTCCGGCCGCCAGCAGGCACCCAGGACCCAGGCTTCACTCTGGCCCTGGTTTTGTCTGGAAGAATATTCGGATGGATGTCTGGTCTAATTAGCATATTACACCTTTATTATTATAGATTCCTTGTCCTTACTACCTCCTTAATAAAATTGGGAAATGGGTATTCTATCTCCATGTTTAAAAACAAAAAAGAAAGCAGGAAAAAGCAAGGTCTTCTAATCTCGTTTCAAAGTCAGAGGCCAAGCTATGGAGGTGGGGGAAGAGGAGACGGCTACTCCGAGTAGGCAGGGAGCTAGCTGGCTCCTGGCCCTCGCTAAAGAGAGACCTAGGTTTTGATTGTACCCACCCAGTGCCTAGCATCTCATTATAAAACAAACAAACAAGAAATGCTCCTTTTGAACTAGTCAAGTTTTAGAAACAGATATAAGAACAACTTCAGTGGCTACTACATTGTATTAAACAGCCCTTTACACTTTGTGCTTGTGCTTTGAACAATTTAAAGGGTATAATCTTATAAACAAATTAAGATAACAGAAACTAACTTCCTGATGTGAATAAAACTAATTAAAATGGTAAGTTTGTAAGATACATTATATGGTAAGTTTGTAAGATTATTATAGTGTGCATAAATGATCTTTGAAGGACATAATGGAGAACAGACAAAATTCTTTCTTTCCTTTAAATCTTGCTAGAAAATAGAAAGCTAAATTTAATGTTAAAACGTCAGTGGTAGCCCTGTCTGGTGCTGGGTGGAGAGCAGTTGTCTTGTACACCAAAAGGTCGAGAGTTCGAGTCCCAGTCAGGGCACATACCCAGGTTGTAGTTCAGTCCTGATGGGGGCGAGTGCAGAAGGCACTGGATTGATGATTGATGTTTCTCTCTCTTTCTCTCTCTCTCTGTACCTCTTCCTTTCTATGTCTCTAAAATAAACTAAAAAAATAAAGCATGTCTTCTGGTGAGGATTAAAAAAAAAAAAAGCCGACGGTAGAGAAAGAATGGCAGGTAAG